TGGTGGCCCCCAGCTCTGTGGGGACGTGTCTCTGGGGCTGCTCCCCATCTCTCCTCTCTTTTCCTTCCCCTCATGGAAAATCATGCCCATGCCCATGCTGGGGTGGGGGGACAGCCAGGTTTGAGGCCATTCCCAGCAGCCTGGAGCTTTTCTCCAGCAGTGCTTTGCGTGCAGAGAGCAGTTATCTCTGCATCTCTGTTGCTTCCTTCTTAACCCCAGGACAAACTCCATCCTCACCCGCTTTCATGTTCTCTGATTAACAGGTACAACCTACCTCTAATGACACAGGGCAATCAATCAGCCCAAATACTGTCGCCTTTCCAGAGGGAAGAGGGAGGTGAGGAGTGGGAGGAGGAAGAAGGGTTCATACTGATTCGGGAGCCCTCCCAGCGCAGGGGTAGAGCCACGTACCGGGTTTAATGTGTCCTGTCCTGTTGGCTCGAGCTCTCCTCCATCCAGAGGTCCAGCCTGGCTCAAGCAGAGGACCAGCATCTTCTCCAATCCACCGCAGAAGGAAACTTCACCAGGGGAAGGTCCCGCCAGCTCCAGAGCCCCAGAAGCTGTTCAGTCTTGGAGGCTGAAGCCAGCCATTATCCCTGCTGCAAAGCGGCTGCTCCTGGGGTTCAAAGCATGGGAGAGCCCGACTCTGTCCCGGGAGTGGAGCTGCAAGGGAAAGATGATGTTTGGGGGTTTCCTGCTCCATGGAAAGGAGCTCCCAAGGCCTGACAGTGCAGCGGGGCAAGCAGGGTGCTGGGGCAAAGCCCACCACGCTTAGAGGAGCCATCAGCTCAGAGGCCATGTCCCCAAAACACTGGCAGAAAGAAAGCACGCGTGGCTCAGAAACAGAGTTTAAGGTGCGAATCAGAGTTTTATTTTAAGCTCTAGGACATCAAGGGGTGATATTTTTGATGTCAAGGGACTGTCACCAGTGTTGAGGACAAGCAGCAAAAGGGGAGACACACAAGAGTTAATCACTGTGGGGAGATGATTCCTGATAACAGATCTCACAGGAGATTAAAGTAACAGCCAAAGGAAAGAAGTTCGAAAGACGGGATGTGCTTTTACAGGGGAGGATCATTAAGTGTTGGAGCAACTCCCCTCTTCCTTGCACCTGGGATGAAGAGGCACAAGTGGTTCCTCTAGCCCCTTTCAGGGCTGGGTACCGGCTTTCCTGGCGAGGAGATGCCACCAGACCCTGCACCAGGCAGGTGTCTCGGCTGGAGGGAGAAGGTGTGTGGCTGCCTGGACCTTTCCCTGTGGGAATGAGGGAGCTGGGACCCTCCCTGCCTTTGGAAGAGGAGCTGGAGCCCAGCTGCCATGGCTGGTCTGCTGACTCACTTTAAAACGAGCAATAAAAGCAATTGGCCATGGAGTGATAAAAGCTCCCCTGGCTTATCATCACCTTGATTCCAGTAAGGAAATCATGGCACTTGCAGGCTACCTGGGGAGTAATTGGAAGGCTTAATTGAGGAAGATCGTTAGGGAAAAGCAAAGATAGGGGAGCTGGAGTCCCTTAGCTACTGTGAGCAATGGGGGCTTGCAGGACGATAATCGATGGATTTGTTTATCAGGAGGAAACAGGGAAGAGGAGGCAGTGAAGAACTGAGACCCTGCACCCCCGAAAGGGAGCAGGGTGCCCCTGTCCCTTCCTCACAGAGGGTCCCTGGGTGGGGGGCATCTGGGGGTGCAGCTCCGCTCCAGAGGAAAGAGGAGTGTGGAGCTGGGGTACCTCGTTTGATGCTCAGCCTGTGCTCACTGCTCTCTTCCCTGTGTGCTGGGGATTGTCAAGACACCCGGCACAGTGAACATCTGGCGAAGGAGCCTGCTCAGCTTCGGTCTTCCAACCATATTGTCCAGGAGCAGGCAGGATGCCTGGGCTTGGGAGCGGGGCGGATAGGATCGAAGGGACAGTCCGACTGCAGCATCCCCAGCCAGAAAACTGGGACCTCACCTGGGGTCACTAGGCTGTTGGATGGACCAGGATGTCCAAGGAGATGTGTGCGTGCAGGGACATCAGACCAAGGTCTCAGGGGGTCCTCCTGCCTGTGCAGGCCGCCTGGAAAGATATCCCACAGCTGCGTGGGATATCTCCATTGGCATCAAGGGGAGGGAGAGATGCCAAATGAAGATGGAGCTTTATAAAGTGGGGTGTTTTGCCTCCGACACCTTTCCCTCCTCCATCCTGACAATGGGGTGACTTTTTCTCCCAAGTCTCCGGTCTCCAGGCTGTACCTGATCCAGACTGGCAGCAGTGTCCCCAGGGGAGGCAGTCAGCCCTCAATTAATGTATCTTGGGGAGACCTTTCACCAGCAAAGGGTTGTTTCACCTCAGTAATGTTAATATTAATCTGTTTATCTGCCCCAGGGCTATAAAACACTCATCTCCAAAGGGAAAAAAAGTTTCCCACCATTCTTTCTTTATATCTCCACTTGCTTATTGCGGGCCTTATCAGCAAACACAGCCAGCCTTCAGAGCAAGAGAGTCACGCAATGGCTCCAGCAAATGGGGCCTCTGGTCCTACACCAGCATCAGCATCGCGTGTTCTCACTGCAGCTGGAGTCACCAGACCACGTTCATGAGAGCCTCTTTGCCCCATGGGGATGGCGTGACATGTTGCTGCTAAGTCCCTGTCGGTCCCAGTGCTCTCCTGAATCACCAGGTTAGGCACCGAGAGACCCAGATCCATGTCCAGGATCATCCCACCTTCCCCTACAGCAGATGGTGAATGCCAGCCTTGGGATGTCCCTTGTGGAAAGGTGGTTCATGACTCTATTGCCTTGACCTATGGCCCTTGTCATAGGTAGCGGAGGTGTTATTTGGCTGATGGACCTCATGGGTTGTCCTAAACCATCCTTCCACTTTTCCTCCAAGGCCTCTGATAGCCTGCAGCTCAAACCATGGTTTGGACGTCCCCGTCCTCACCCTTGCTTTCCATGCAATACCAGGATTATGACATTAAGTAGTGAAGACAAAGCCGGCATGACACGGAGTGAAGCTGCTCAGGCTGCTTCAATGAATTCAGGTGGGTCTGAGGCTGCATCGTCTCAGTGTTTCATCACAAGTTGGTGACCAGGCAGGACCTGGACACAGAGACAAAGAGTTACTCCTTTTCATACAGGCTTGTTTAGCGGGTCTGAACACCTCCCTGCTCTAGCTGGAATCTCCCTGAAGTCTTGGGCAATCGGATTCCACATTTTCTTCCCCAACACGCTTTTTCGTTTCTGCCTCTTCTTGGAAGTTTTTGTGTAATGCATGATGAATGATTGGTATTCGGACCTGAAAGAAGCTCTCATTGGTCAGGGTCTGGGGTTATGGCTGAGCAGATGCCACCCATGGGAACAAATTCAAGAGCAGTGCGTATTGCACCGGATGGTTATACTTGTTCCTGAATCGTTGCTTGCCAGGCACTGGTTTGGCTAAGATAGCTTTGCGTGCAAGTTGAAGAAAAGGAGGCATCTGGCTCTGCTGGCATGGGTTGACTGGCAGCCAATGTAAACTCTTGGGTTTCGCTTGGAGGAAGCCGTGTTCTCCCTCACTGTCCTGTTGTGAAAAGACCCTTGCTCCAGTCCAGAATGCCAGCAGCTTGACTTTCTCGATAGCACGGGGTAAAGGCATCCTTCCTTGTGCCCTTCGGGGCCAGCAGTGACTACAGTGAGTGAGGCTTAAGGTGGTTGAAGTCCTCCAACATGCTGGTCCCTCCAGAGAAGCTTTGCTCCAGCCCAGTTCATTTGAAGAATCCCTCTCATTTTTCTGAAGAGTGTAATCTGAGCAGCAGGAGAACCTCTAGTGCAAGGTTATCTGACAGATCCTCAAAGACGCACTAACGTGCTTTGAGCTCCTCTATGGGCAAAGCTAAACCTCTCCTGAATGGGTCTTAGAGTGACAGGACAAGTCAGCTAGGCAATTAAAAACATAGTGTAGAAGCAAAGGAATAGGCTGTCCTTAGAGGACTCGGAGAATTATTGACATTTTTCCAAGATTTCCAAGGTTTTTTTCCCTGCAGACATATCTACAGTGAAGGTAAACTTCAACCAGTGAAAATTTATTCCAGTTAGTCCAGAAATAGTGATACTGGCTGGACCTCAATAACATCATCCTCCTCTCCACCTAAGCTTTAGGCATCAGTTCAGCAAAGATCTTAAACATCGATGGAGGCCGTGGGATTATGGCACGGGTTGGCTGTTCTTCAGCTATCAAAGAGCAATTCCAAAAGAATACAGCCCAAGGGTATTCAGATGGTCTGTTTTGGGGTACATTCTCTTTCGCTCTAGCAAAAGACAGCTCACACACCCCATACATGTGCTTTGTGGTCCTAAGACTAGATGTAATGGAATATTCAACATTTGATGGAATACCCAACGCTAGAAATACTGGAAAATGAAAAAGGCAAGAAATGCTAGAAAGTAAGCAAGACAAGACAAGAGTTTCAATGGCTTCAGTTTATTATATCATCCCGTAAAGTTGTACCAGACCCAACTTTGCTACAAGGGCACCCAGCTCTTTGCCCCTCGGCGATGTCTGGGCAATGGATAAGCTCATTGCTCAGTTCATGCTCTTCATGGGGAAGCGCTGCTTGACCTGGAAGTGCTCACATCTTTTGTGCTTCAGGGACAGTCCATAGAGCGGCGTCATGTCCACCTTCTTGCCATCACGCACACTGAACTCCAGTTGCTGGAGCAAGATGGACAGGAAAAGGAAGATCTGCCACCTGGCAATGGGTTCCCCAATGCACCTCCTTTTCCCCAGGCTGAAAACCAACACCTTCTCCGCATCCACTTTGTTCAGTTCGGTCCCTTCAGCACTGAGGAAACGCTCCGGGTTGAAGGTCAGTGGATCCTTCCAAAGTTTCCTGGAAGGGAAAACATCAGATGCTGAGATGATGTCTCCTGGCCACAGGTGTAGGGGGGACACTGGAAGGTGGGAGCTGTCAGTGAGAATATCGCTGAATTTAGCAGATACCCCACCCGCTCCTTTTTCTCTTAAAGCAGGTTGTCCCCACTTCTGCCCAGGACGACAACTGTGCAGAAAGGGTCCTGTATGTCACTGCAGGAGGCTTTTTGCCCCAGAAAGTACTTACTCGTCATGATTCGCTTGCCACTGGTTGACAAACACGCAGCGGTCCTTTGGGATGTAGTAGCCATTCAGCACCGTGTCCCTGGTTGTGCTGGAGAGAGAAAAGACTCTGAGAGTTTGGGAAGCAAAAAGGTTCTTCCTCATCCTCAGGGGACTATTAGTTTGCTCCTGATGCTGCTGAAGTAAGGATGTGGCCCAAAGAGATGACTTTATGAGGGGCAGTTGCATTGTCCATAAGCCGGATTGGGCAAGTCCTACCTGAGCTGCGTGGAGTATCTTCAGTGAAGTCAGCAGAAGGCAAGAATTGCTCTTTGGGAGCTCCTGCATTGCCCTGCACAAGAGCTGTGAGCTCCCCGTGCCCATGATGAAGCCATTAATCTACAAGTCGATAATAACCTCCCTGCCTCTCACCCCACTGCTACCAGCATGGCTGTAACAATGTGCCTCAAGTCCCCTTTGTCCCTCCAACCTCCTGTGCAACCTCAGCCTGTACCTGTGCGGGATGGCTAAGGGCAGGAAGGAGGTGTGCCTGAACATCTCCAGGATAAAGGCTTCTGTGTAGGGCAGCGTGCCTTGGTCCGACAGCCTCGGTCTCCTCTCCCGGCCGATGGTCTGGTCTGCAAGAAGTTGAGAGGAGGGAGCGTGCTGGGGTCAGCCCTGGCCAGAGAGGTTTTGGCCCCGGAGGAAGCAGGTTCATGGACTCACCTAGTTCTTCTTGGATCCTCTTCTGGATTTTGGGGTATGTCACGAGATACATGAGGCTCCAGGACAGGCCAGTTGTGACTGTGTCAAAGCCTAGTCAAAGAGGAAAGCATGTCATGCAGGGCACGTGCCTTGGCTTGCTGCCTAACCATCACATGGAGCTGTCCTGGATGGCTAAGAAGGCAGAGGATATCCTGGCCACACAGTAAGACTTGGGTTTCTATCCTGCCGGAGAAAATTTTGCTAAAATATTCTGCTCTCACTTATCCTGATCCACCCTTGGGTTATGTCAGGTTTGTATAACTTCTCTGGAATCGGGGGAGTTTCCACAGAGTAACTCAAAGATGAATCAGTCAACAGACATCTCCCTCAACCAGGAAAAGCCACCCTGGCTTGTGAAGCTTGACTGAGCTACAAGCCGTGCCCTTTGCTTTTTCCTGAAGACTCTTTCCAGCTAACATCCCATGCTGGTGTCTAGGGGTGTCCCTGGAAGGTCTAGGAAGACCAGTGAGCAGAACAAGTGCTTAGACCCAAACTGCCTGCCTGGTGTTGGACAAAGATGGGTCAGACAGATCTGTAACACAAGGAGCCTCAGAAAATCTGCAGTAGCCGAGGGACCGGTGAGAAAAGATACCCGCTCCAAAGAGGTCATTCACAAGGTTGACAATCTTCTCCTTAGGGATCTGCGTGGCAGTATTTTCTCCCACTTTTTTCTCCAGGCACTGCTCAATGAGGGAGTCAGTGACGTCTCGGATGTAGTTCTGAGAGGAAGAGAAGACAAGTCATGGCAGCAGAACCAGCAGAGGAATGAGGGTTACTGAGCAACAACCTGATGCTGGGGGAGGCGAGGGTCATACGAGTTCTGGAGAATACCACCTTTCAGCCCTCATGGTCCCTACTGCTTTTGCAACCTATGAAAACAAGGAGATGGTTCTCCAGGGAACCTATGGCACAGATCAGATGTTCGACCAACAAACTGGCCCTGTCCCACAGGGCTGTGGAGGAGAAGGAGGACTGCAGTCCTGGACTGCACATGGAGAGACTACAGGTGAGTGATACTACAGTTGGACTTGCTAAATGCAGCGATACCTGCAAGAATGTAGATGCCCATTGGTACTTGGCTGCGAGAAGAACAACTCGCTAACAGAGAGGGGCAGAGAGCGGGGACGCATCTCTGGTGCAGGTGAGGGTCCTGCAAGCTCTTACCTTGTCATAGGTCTCGTAGTGCTCTTTGACAATCTTCTGCAGGAAATCGAGGAACCGCTTGTTGAAATCTTTAAACAAAGTCATGCTGCGGCTGGGAAGATACTGGAGCACGGGGATGAAGTCGACGGGGTTGCCAGCAGCAGCTGTGTTGGTAAACTGTTCACTGACATTCACTATATTGAGCAGCTCTTGGTCGTTGTGGTCGTAACGCTTGCCAAAGCAAATGGCACAGATGACGTTCGCCACAGAGACCACCAGGTACCGGTAAGGGTCAAAGCTCTTCTTCTCATCCATCACCTGCAGGAACTTGGTGACCAGGTAGTCAGCCTCCTTGGAGACGTGTTCCTCCAGGAGGCAGGTGGAAGAGGAGGTGGGGCTGGGGGCGAAGGAGAAGGTCTTCAGGGCATTCTGGGCCAGCTTTCTGCGGGCTTTCCACACCTCCCCTGTGTCGAGGCTGAAGGTCAGGCTCTGCCCATCCGTAACGTGGCGGAAGCTGTGGAGGTCAGGGCGGCCCATGAAGTCTTCTCCTTGCTTCACCAGGGCTTGCTTGATGGTGTCCAACCCGCTCAGCACCAGGACGGGCTGGGTGCCGATCTTGACCTCCATCACGTCCCCATACTTCTGGCTCAGCCTGGCGAGGGCCAAGTGCGGGTCCTTCCTCAGCTCCAGCATGTTGCCAAGGATGGGGTAGCCTCTGGGTCCCGGGGGGCTCTTCAGCCCCTTGGGCACGTGCTGCCGGAGGGACTGGATGAGCAGGCAGACCAGGAAGAAGACAGCAGCCACGATGAAGACCTCAGTGGCCGAGACAATGCCTTGGTTTCCCACCAGTGGCATCGCAGCCTTCATCGCTTCTGGCATGTAGGAACCCTAAAGGAGTGAACCAGAAGTGTGGCGAAGAGCCAGGATCAGCGAGAGGTTGAGTCCTGCAGATGTTCCTGGTGCTGTGAAGGGGCACCAAGTGCCCTTAAACACTTCAGGGTGACGGAGCTGCCTGTGTAGCACTTTGGGATTTTCAAGGGGCAAAAGCTGGAGACCTATAAAGACTCCAAACACACCCATCAGTTAAGGGGGACCCCAGACCCCAGAGCCTGTAATGGCACCCCTTCCCCTGCGGAATATCCCAGCACCCACTGGCACAGCCATGGCCCCTGCCCAGGGGAGACGGTCTGTTTGCAACACGGCACAGAAAACTGCAGCTTAAAAAAGCGCAGGGAAGCAGGAGGAGAGGAACAACAACTCCGCAATGAAGCTGGCCCCATGTCCACCAAATCTGTAAGAATTTATAGCCAGGAGGCTGGACCTGCTGGGCGGCCACCGGTGCGTAGGGGCACAGGGAGCGGGGATGCCACGGGGCTGCCCTGCCGGAACGCACCGCTCGCTGGGTGGGCAGGGGAGGAAGGGGAGAGCCTGGTGCATGAATTTCTCCTCCAGACCCAAATATGACCTTCTCAGTCCTATATCCATGTTGAAAAACATCTCCCCCCCATTGACTCCTACCTGCAGGTCCTTGCGATAGACAGGACTGGTTTTGCTGCCCGTGGCTCCCTGCAAAGATAGGCAGAGGTGTCTGCCAGCTGCCTGCCCTGGGGAGCAGAGGGGATCCTCTTCTGCTGCCCGGACCGTCTTCTTCTGCTGCCCGGATCTTCTTCTCCTGCTGCCTGGAAGGCCACGGCTTTATATACACTCCCTTCGTCACACAGCTGGCTGCTTGTCTCTGGGGTTCATGGAATGGAAGCCCCGGGGAATAGCTACCCATTAACAAACGGGGCTGAGCCTAGCTGGAGCCAGCCCAAGAAGCCAGGGAAGATGCTTCCTCAGCTCCAACAGGCTCTGGGGGGACTAATGGTGACTTCTCCTCCAGCCCAGGGCACACACTTGCCCTAGAGCACGGGACGGGGAGGCAGAAGAGGGTCCCTAAGCCCTGCCCTGGGGAGGATGGAGGACACGCTCTCGGCATTGCCGCCCCGTGGGATGTGGGTGCCAGCATTTCCCCCAAAGACCTTTCCTGGGCTGACCAGACTGCTCCCAGCACACAGAGAGGGCTGTCACCTCCATGGTCGCTCTGGAGGTGCTGGGAGCTGCAAGCTCTGGCAGCAGGGGGCTGTGTTTGCAGCAAGGCATCCACAGCCATAGCCCTCTGCATCCCCGGGGAATCATCTGGAATGTCCCTGTGCCCTTGGACTGATGATGGCATGACCTTCTGGCCTAGGGCAGAGCCAGGCTCAGGTTAACGATTGCCCAGGTTCGCGTGAGAAGGCAGCTGGCTCGATTCCCCTGGCTCCTCCATGGCAAACAGGGAGCGAGGGAGAGGAGTGGCGGGGCAGAGGGGAGGAGGTGAGCCGGGGAGATAGGAGAGGTGAAAGGGGCAGCACAGGGCAAGGCTGGGGCAGTTCACCCCTTCGAAAACACAGCGTGCCACCCGGCAGGAGATGCAGGAGATGCAGGGACTGCTGCTCGAGCTGGGGCAACATTCAGGGCTTCGGGAAGGGCAGCTGGGATGAGCTGGAGGAGCAGGAACGAGCCAGAGCTTTGGGGTTTGGCCCCAAGTTTCATTCAGTCGTTGAAAACTACAGTGGGAATTTGGCCCAGGTAAAATCTGAGCTAATATTTAATAAAGGCTTTCAACATTTGGTCTAATCAGGCTCATTAATAGCAATGACACCGTTCATTAATGTTTGGCAAGAACAGTTACAAAACCCTGGTTGCTAATGTTCCTTCTGACAATTGCCGGGCAGCTGGCAGACTTCTCCGTCCCGGCTTCAACAGGCAATGCCTCCCAGCGGGGAAGACGCTTGGGAGCGTTTTTGGGGAGACAGGCTGGGGTTTCACAGGAGCAGGGCAATGCAGGGCTCTTCTTGCAGGCTGGATCCCACCAGTGCCTGCCATCACCACGGATCTACTCAGTTCTGTTGCATGGGATTGGGGGGGCAAACTGACCCCCCAGGCAGCGTTTCAGCCCTTGGCAGCCTTGCACTGGTGGGGAACCCTCACCAGGCTCTCCTGATCTATCATATCCCAAAGCGCTGGAGAAGCTGA